TTTTATAACCACATATCTGGGTTTTCCCCCCCTATATATATATTGCTATATAGAAATGGCAATAATACCATTCAATTTATATAACTATCTGTTGATAGTCCATCACTTCTTTGAATATTTTATATATTCAATTTCCCCATTTTCTTTCTTCAACACTTCGAAACTAGCAAACTTTGACCTACAGTCCTGAAGGTCAAGTAAGGCTTTACTGGAGACCAGACTCTTCTTGTCTTTGAATATATTGTTTCCTTCACCAAACAATCATTAAGAAAAGTGACTAGGCACCTTCCAAATTCTTTTTTTTTGACACTTTCCCACAATGCACAATTATGTCTTCTGTTGAATTTTAAGTTTGCCCTTCTCCAACCCTTCCTTCTTTTTTGCTTTCAATTTTCTTTCTCTTAACTGTCCTTCCTTTCAGATCCCTGAAATTTGGCCCTGTACCTCATCTGACTAGTATTCTATCTAATTCAGCATTTTCTATAAAAAGAGGAAGAAGAATTGGAGAGTTTCAACTAGGTGAGGTAGAGTCTGTAAAGATGCAACAGCTCTCTAGGCTTCTCCACATATAGACACATACACAGACAGACACATGGACCATTCAATCCTCCCTTGATATGCTGAGGATTGCATCTGGTACTCAACCATGAAACATATGGTGTATTCACTGAATGATAGTCTTTGACTTCCTGTTCACCCATACTGTACTACCTCCCTTATTTACAATGGTTTCTACCTTGAATAGACATATGTAAGTCAAAATTGCAACATGCTCTACATGGGGCTGCCCTTGAAGAGCTTCCAGAAGCTCCAGTTGGTGCAGCAGCCCACATGGTTTTGTGCAGACCCTGGTATGCACACATGTCACCTCTTCTGCAGGAGGTGCATTGGTTGCTGATTTGCTTCTGGGTGCTATTCAATGTGTTGGTTGTTATTTTTAAAGCCCTTCATGGCTTGGGACCAGGTTATCTGAGGGAATGTCTCTTGCCAGTCACATCTACCCATCCCATTAGAGCAGGGAGGCAGGGAATGTTGTTGGTCCTATCCCTGAGGGAGACACACCTGGTGGGGCCCAGAAAAAGGGCCTTCTCCATGGTGGCTCCCTCTCTCTGGAATATAATTCCACCAGAGATTAGAATGGCCCCCACTCTAGCACTCTTTTGGAAGGCACTGAAGACCTGGTTTTGCCAGCGGTCCTGGGGAACCCAGAGTGGGACGGAGCCCATCAAATCGCTAGTGTGATCTGCGGGGCAGGATGTGTGAGTTGGGGCATGATTTTTTATTTTATTTTTTCAAGGTTTTGTTCTATTGTACTTTATTTGATTCTTTTTGTTAGTTTTTTTTTGTTTTTTTGTTTTTATTTTTAAATAAAACTAAATAAAACTAAATGTAAATGGTTTTACATTGTGTAAGCCACCTTGAGTCGCCATGGGCGAATAGGCAGCAATATACATTAAATAAATAATAAATAAATAAAATGCCATTCCATTCTGTTATTTTGATTTGTTACTGCTTTATTATTGCAGAATAAGTCTGACCATGAAAAGGTTATATTTTATCATTTGCTTCTTTAAGAGATTGCTGGCTCATGTCAGTTAGCAATGAAACTGGAACCATGTAAATTAGTACAAGAAAAATGACATGGTCATTTTTCGTGTTTAGTGATGGCCCAGAGATCATGAATCCTTAATACAGTTTTCTCTCTGAATTTCTTCTCTGAATGTTCAATGGGGGATGATCTTGGTAAATGGAAAAGATTACAAATTCCAATTTCACTTTTTCCCCTCAAAGAGTTCAATGAAAGCACCCAGTATCATCCATTAGCAAATACAGTATATAACGTTGTATGTTTGGATATTAGAGATCATGGGTGCAAGAACTCCGATGCAAATAATGTTCATTATATTTTCTCTGTAAAAAGTATGACAAGCTGATTCTATAGATTTTTAAATTCACACATATACAGTATATTATACACTTTATGAAATAAGAAAACTTCCTGCTCTTTTACAGCACTTCAAATCAAATCAACTCAGTTTATCATATAAATATAATAAAAATAGTGAGTGCAATATGATCTAAAAATAAGTCTTTCAATCATAGTTATAACATTTTCTTATATATTTTACATAATGATATTAAATTTGTTTTCCATTGAAGCCAAAATGTTTTCCATAATAAGATAAGGAGCCATGATTGTGCAGCAGTTAGAATACAGTATTGCAGACTAAGTCTGTATTCCACTGCCAGAAGTTTGATCCTGACCAGCTCAAGGTTGACTCAGCCTTCCAACCTTCCAAGGTTGGTAAAATGAAGAGCCAGATTGTTGGGGGCAATATCTCTATATGTTTAGAGAGAGAGCTGTAAAGCATTGTGAAGCAGCATATAAATCTAAGTGCTAGTGCTAGTGCTAAATCCTATACAGAAGTGACCCATAGTCTAGCACAGAGAAATAAGGACTGGGATATCCCAAATGATGAAACGCTCTACCCATAGAGTATCTGAATAGAGAATTAGGATTTTTTTAAATCTATCCCTACTTTTTGCTTAATTGTTTTGGGGGGAGAAAGAGGTTAAAGAGGCAAATTAGACATCCCCGTCCTGTATTTGTGTTAACATCACATCACCTGAACCCACAAAAAAACAGAGCTTTGGCCTAGTGACAATCATTTTCCATAGGCCATTTGGAATTGTTCTGGATTAAACAGACATGCAACCTCACTGAGAAGCATGAGAAAATATAGCAGTACAATTTTCCTTTCTTTTTAAAAGCACATATCTAATTACCACGGTGGACGGATTCAATATGTAAAATAAAATCAGACACTAACCGCCAGCATGACGCTATTTTAATTAGCTATCAGGATGAAACTATTTGACTTATATATTTAAAACTGTAGACATTTAGAACAGTAATATCAATGCTAAGGTTTATTTAAAAAAAATAAAAATGAGGAAGGTACAAGGAAAGCCAAGGCCAAACAAACATTTTTCCAGTCATATTCACGCATACGCTGTATTTCTGGAAGAGTTTTATAACCTTTCAATCAAATTTGTTAGCTCAAATGATACAGTGTATTAAAAAAGAGAGACAACAGAAGAAGAATTAGATGTCCAGTAAAATTATAAAAAACAGAAAGATTTTTTTTTTTTATTACTGAAGTCTTTCCTGGAAACAGGATTTTTTTTTTTAATTATTATTATTAAAACTGGGAAAATAACTGCAGATAATTCTGACAATAAAAATCCAGGCATTAAGAACCAGGTTATACATATAATAAAGCCATCAGATGTTGGGGTTAAGAAATTGAAGGCAGATGCTGAAGCACAATCTAAGAATGAGTGCTTAACTTCAAGACTACACACCTCTTCTACAGTAAGAATAACTAATACAACAGGGAGTGAAATGAAAAGAGCTGGCAGTGCATTTCGCCTCCCCACCCCAGCATATGAAGCAGGTTTTCATAAGGAAGCAATGGTGATCAATCACTACCTCATTACCAACCTGTCATCTGGGCTTAGACTAAATGTATTCTGGCTTTCTGCCATACTAAATGTTCAATGAAACATCCTTAAGGCTCTCTACAAGTTCAGCTGAAGTCGCACATGCTATACATCAAAGAGGAACATTAGTGTTATCATAGCTTAATAAATAGAGCCATTCCGGCAACAAAATCCTCTGTTCTAGAGCTATCTTGCATTCCTAGTATTATGCAGCTTAAGTAGACAATCCTGCTGTCTTGCACATGCTTATTTAATGATAGATGTTTGTAATAATAATTAGTCATACCAGCACACAGGTACTTCCTATCCCTCTTGAAAAATATATGTTGCCAAAATATATTACAATAGGGGTGAATTATGTTGTTTTAAAAATATGTCTTATTCGTGGATTGCCAAGAACCCAAAGACAGAATTAGGGTTGACTGAAGGAGATGTGACAAATCTCTAAATTTGTTCTTGGTTTAGAATTACACTATGATTTCAACTATGCAAAGAATTGGACATTAGCTGCATCTTGACATAATCGTGAGTTACCTTGAGGATACCTAATATAATCCAATAAAAGAAACTGTATGGAAGAACTTGTAGAGTCATCTATCTGTCTTTATATTCAGCAAGCAAATTAAAGGACAGAATAGATGGTTTATTCCACAATTATAGTGAAACAAGGTGTAGGGGTTTTCAATATTGGCCACTTTAAGACTTGTGGACGGACTTCTGGTTTGGGTCTCTTCAGCGACAGACCAAAATCCACGATCGTGCATGGTTTTGATCTGTGCTCGCCGCTGGAGCACCCCATCCTTTGGATTCAGGGCTGAAGCCACCCGGGAGAGGTGGTGAAGAGGCGGGAGATTGCTAGCCGAGTGGAGGGGAGCCGCATCTCTCCTCCTTGGCTGGTCTAAACTCCTTTCCCTGAAGGCGGTGATCAGAAAGGTGATCAGAAATGGCCACCTCAAAGAAGAACCTGACTGGATAAGATTGTGCAGGAGGAAGACAAAGAGGAAAGCAGGACAGACCAGGCTAAACAACAGAGAACATCTAAGCAAGGTACCCTGAATCTAAAAGTACCTAAAGGGATACTTCTGAAAGAAGATCTTTAAGTGGCGAAGGAGAGAGAAAGAGAGGTTAAAAACCCTTTTCTTAGCTTTATATTGACAATTACAAATGGTATGGAAAGAAATTTATATTAATCTATTTTGACACTAATAGGCAACCTTAAGCTGAAATCTAAGTGTCAAAAGGAGAATAAAGTTTTTTTCTTGGTCATTTTAAAGCTCTAAAAAGGAGAAGAGTGGAGGCAAAAGGGTGGGACTTGGAATAATGGAAAAAAGGAGTGCCACCTGGAAAAATAAAGAAGATTAACAGTGAAACTTTGAAAAGACTCCCGAGGATACATTGTAACTGAAATCTTATTAAAAGATATAGTAACCCACAGAAAGAAAAATTAAAGGAAAGAAACAAGAAGGAACAGTCTGGGATCATTTGATGATTTAAAAAAAAGTTTTTGGTATTGGTTTTTTCTTTCTTTTTCTGTTTTTACTTAAAGTCAATTGGGTGGTTGTTCAAAAGTGTTTAAAATGCCATCACTCCTGGAGGAACTGAAGATGAGTCTTAAAAAACAGAAAGAAGATGCAGAAAGGGGAGGAAGATCCTTTGGCTTCGTATTTGAATTTTTTGAAATGGAGATCCTGAACTATGAAAAGCAAAAGGAAAAGCTTCAAGAGCAAGAAGAAGGGCGGGACAAAGAAGAAGCCATTTTCGATGATCAAATAATGCAAAGTGGTAATAAGGGGAAAAAGAGGGAAAGGAGTTAAAAGTTTGAGATCAAAAGGAACAGCCAAAAAGAAAAATAGTCTGAAAAAGAAGTATAACAGCAAGGAGAAGCAGAAAACTACAGAAGGGAAAATGAGAGAGAGAGGGGTATAAAAAAAAGAGATGAGAAAAAAGGGAGGAAGATAGAAAGGGAAACAACTAATGAGGGACAAAAACAGGAAATAAAGAAAATGGGGAAACGTACTAGGATTAAAGGTATTTGCTCAGCTAGAAAACACAGAGACAATGGTTAAATTAAGTTAAAAGTGTGGATTCTGCAAAGGTACAAAAGATAGTGTTGTGACAGTAGAATACTATAATGAGTTAGAAATAAAATAAGTAAATAAACTATGAGATAAAACTGTATTGTTATGTAATGGTATGTTTATTTATAATTAATGCAATAATAAAGAAGAGAGGGAAACATTGCAATTGTTTCTAAAGATTGATAAAATATTGAAAAGAAATGTGAAAGATTTATAAGGAAATTTATACCAGTTATTAGAATGAATTTGAATAATTATTTTGCTTATTAATAGTAAATAATTTATAAGATAAAACTGTATGACTATCCAATGGTATGCTTATTAACAGTTAAGTAATAATGAAGAAGGGAGGAAAACATTTCAATTGTTCTCAAAGTTTGATAGATGTTGAAAAGAAACGTGAAAGATTTACAAGGTTCATACCAGTACTAGAATGATTTTGAATAGCTATTTTGTTTAGTAATGTATATATGTATGTATATGTATAGTTTTTGCTATGTTCTTAGAATTTTTCTTTTCACATTTGCAAGGGGAAGTACCAAGCAGAGTCTGAATGATGAGATCTATATGATATAAAATAGATATTAGAAATTTGAATGTTATAATTTTAGAATGCACAAATTCAATGTTTAATGAGATTTCATATGATAATAACAATAAGATTTAAAGGTGTTGCACTTCGATTGGCAATCATAGGGGCAATTTTGCTTCTTAAGAATGTTGGAAGAGAACATATGAAATTGTAAACAAGACAGATGAAAGTATAAGTACAATGAATAAAAAGATATAGAAATTTAGGTAAAAGAAATACAATTGAATAAGAAGAAAATGAGATAACCATAAAAGAAAATTAAGAGAAGGGAGAAATAGTGAGAAGTTGGAAAAAGAGTAATAAGATATGAAGTTGAATACATAAGATGAATATGCATATGAAATTGTGTCTGTATGGAAATGTGATAACCCAGAACGATGTTGTACTCAAATAAGATGTTTTATTTGTTTTGTTAAAACTCAATAAAACTTTCTTAAAAAAAAAAAAAGACCTGTGGACGTCAACTCCCAGAAGTAGGCTGAGGAATTCTGGGAGTTGAAGTCCACAAGTCCTAAAGTGGACCAGGTTAGAGACCCCTAGTTTAGTGCAAAGTGTCAATGAAGTATTTTTAAATTAACATACCACAGTCCTTTTCAAGTGATAGGTTTGAGTAGGATATGAAAAAGCATACTGCCTCTTCCTTCACACCTAGACCCCTGGATCTGACAGATTACTACTTTTGGAAAGCTAGAGGGAATCCTTCTGCTCATATTAATTAAAGCACAACTAAAATTCTGCCCGATCAAGAATATTAGTTGCTTAACTTTATTATAATCCCAATGTAACTGTTAACCAGCTGTTAAATGCACCATACTGTATAAGGGAGTGGCTGTGATGTCAAAACTGCACTGGGAAAATCCAGTTCTAGACTATCCCCAGTCCTGTAAATGCATTGGATAACTTCAAACCAGTTATTCTTCCACATGGTAACTAATTGTTTTGAGGAAAAAATGATGGTTGGATATGCCTTGAACTCCTCAGGAAAACAAATTTAAATCTACCAAATACAACAGACCATTGTTTGAAATGTTAATTTTGAACAGATGATGCTTAAGGACTGAAACAAAACTTGAGATTTGAAAATGTCACTGTATTTGCTTACATTGAATTACTTGAACAGGAGGATAATACGCAAGAGAGTGGAAGAATTAAGTTGGCACTGAGATTCATTGGTTGCCTATTAGCTTCTAGGTTCAATTTAAAAGGCTGAGGTTAACCTATTAAAAATTATGGATTGGTATCATGCTAATTGCCATACAGATATTGCATGTCCATACAGCTATTGGCCCAACCATTATGTTCATGATGGGAGAAGTAGCTGTTTCATATTTGGGGGGGGGGGGGGTCAAGGGGAGCAACACTTGGGGTGTTGTTTTTCAGCGGAAGAATCAGCCCTCTGGAATGTCCTTTTATTTATGGTTTAGATCAGTTTCCACTGCCCATTTTAGCATTTGAGTTGTAACAGCCAAGGGTTATTAGAGATTTTTAGCTTATTGATTTTTTTTTTCTGTCCCTTTTTGGGGCATAATGTTTCTATTGTACTTGTAAGTCACTGAAAGTTGGATTAAATACAGCAGGGCAGAAATCTAATAAGAAAAATAATCAGCAAATAATCCGTCTAATCACCTTTTCTGTGCAATTGCCTTTTTCTGAACACATACTAATGTATTCACTAGTGTCTGAATTTAATATCTCAATAAGATTGTAGTAGCCAAATTAGGATGGAAAAATGAGCACGCACTTGATTTTAATCTAACTGGCAGGCATTATGATTAATATGGTTTCTTATTACAAGCTTTTGGGATGGGCCAAGATACAAATCAAAGAAATGAATAATTACTATAAGACATTTTATAGTATCCCATTTGAATATTCTATCTTATTTCAATAAAGTTCATATTGGCAGCATTATTGCATTTCACTTTAGATAGAAGTAATTACTTATATGGAAAAAATCTCAGTGAATTTAATATTGATTATGCAAAAGAAAACATTTTTGTAAAACCTATGAGGTTAAGAAAAAGAAATAATTTTAGGTTTGTTTTTTTAAAGTATTCATATATCAAGGATATGTAAAGAGCTGAAGATTTTTGGATTTGCATATACATGTTTTTTATAGAAATATTTAATTTATAATATTTAATTGTAATATCTTTAGTTAGTTAGGGGTAGGGAGGGTTGTTTGGAGGTTAGGACATGGAGCCAGTATGGGGGCTTAGTTCAGTGGTCTGGATGTTGCCAGAAGTGGGATTCAAATTTTTTAAGAACTGGTTCTGTGGGCGTGGCTTAGTTGGTGGGCATGGCTTGGTGGTCATGTGACTAGGTGGACATGGCTTGGTGATCATGTGACTGGGTGGGCATGGCTTGATGGTCATGTTAGAGGCTGGGCATGGCCAACTCAACATCACTCACATCGAGGCACGCATCTCCTTGCCTGGCCTCTCATGACTGTGGGGATGCTGCAACAGTCTTCAGTGTGAAAAAGGGTCAAGAGTCACTTTTTTCAGTGCCATTGTAACTTTGAATGGCTCCTCCATACAAGCAAAGTACCAGCAAAGGAGGGGAAAAAAAACTCCAAAGAAGTTCCTAAGACAGGAAGTCTAGTCCTGCCGAGAATGTAATAAGGGTTAACAGAGAGGCAGTTTCTGTAAGCAACACCTGAATGTTTCCTTCCTGCCTTCCTTACAGGATTGGGCCAGTAATTTCTTCTAACAACTGGTTCTCCGAACTGCTTACAATGTTAACAACCCATTCTACCAAATAGGTGCGAACTGGTAGAATCCCACCCCTGGATGTTGCAGATGATGTGGGGAAATTGGTTGTGATCTCACCTGGCAGGAGAAGCAGTAATGTTAGGAAAGGAGTACTATTTGTGTTAGACAGGAAAACAAAAAAAGTGAATTATGATGAATCCTCATGACAGTTTCATCATGGCGACTTGCTGTGGCAATTCTGCAAACAGGAAGTGGCACTTGAGGAAGCTTCCAAGGGCCATGGATCAGATGATTTTGGCTCAGCTGTTGGACACTGCCAGGCAGGAACTGGGAAGCACCATGGTTTCGCTGGACAGTAGAGACTCTGTGTGTGAATTCATCTCCTAGAACTGAATAAGGCCACTGCTGTGGACAGGGTGGAGTTGACTAGAGCTGTGATATCAGAGTACCTGTGCCATGGCATCCTGGCAGTGAGAAATCACTGTGCAATGGAGGATTTGGGTGCTCAGGTGAATGGTGACAGCACAAGTGGGAGCAGGTCAGTGGTTTGCACAGGATGGGCTGCTGTCAGGGAAGAAATCCTGATGTTTAAAAATGGTGTTGTGTTCCAACATTCAATCCTCTATCGCAAAGGTTGATTTTTGACGGCCCTGCCCTCTGGCTGCTGCTACTAAGCAGCCTGCATATTGACTTGTAATGAAGCCTTCATTGTCTATTGTGGAATCCATGATTTAACACTAAATAAAAGGGTTGGGCTGGCACACATCTCAAAAATCTTGCTGGAAGGAGGGGTAAGGGAGAATTCCTATCTCAGAGGTAGGGGTATAATTCCTGTCTCAGAAATGTACCCTCCTGGGTTTTGAGTGTGGCAGCACTAGATTATTTACAGCTTTTTAAGTCAATATTCAGGCTGTGTTGTAGTTCTGACATGACATTGTTCACCCTTTTGGATGTCCCCTAGAGCTTGTGTAATGGAATATCCTAACTTTCGTGGGCCTTTTGATACCACCAACAATGCTAGCATTGTCTGTCATGAGGAATTGGGAAGCTGTTTTAGAGTCGTTTTCCTCCTTCTATGGCCAATGTCTAGTCAATATTATGTCTAGTCAATACTGGAGAGGTCCAATCCTAAAGGCCTGTTATGTGTGATGCCTCTGGGCTCAAGTCTCTCACCTCTCCTATTTAACACAAAATATCTTCCTCCCACAACACTATCTAAACGTTACTGTCTTTTGCTCCTCTGGAAGGCACTCCTTCTCTCCCGGGGAGGTCAAACTGCATTCCATCACTGCAATTCAAAGGGCCAGCTACAACTTTTAAAGACCTGAATGGCAAGGGGACAAAATTTTGTTCCAAGCCAGGTCTTCATCCTCGGAAACAAGTGGGAGTCGCTTGGTGCAAGATCGGGGCTGTAGGGCGAATGAGGAAAAATCTCCCACTTGAAAGCATTCAGGACTTCTCGAGTGCGATTTGTTGTGTGTGGTGGGGCATTGTCATGCAAAAACAAAATTTTTGAGCTTAACTTTCCTCTACGCTTGTTCTGAATTGCTTTTCTTAGTTTTTCAATTTTTCAATTAAAATTTCAGTCGGTTTATGGATTTTTGCCAACAAAAACCTTATCACTGATCCCACCTCACAACTCGCGGGATTTTCAATTGCAGCACACATTTCAAACGTTTGCTGTGAAATAACAGGCAATGATACGAACCTCCCACTAGCACGACTAGATGCAGACTGAGCGGCGGACGCACAGACCAAAGATGGCTACGCTAGCTCCGCCCCTTCTTGCTACAGACGAAAACATAATCTATTTTGTGGATAGCCCTCGTAAAATAGATGTTAACATTTCAAAACTGAACTAAAGTTGAAACTATATTAATGTTTTCCCTCAGAGTCAAGAGTTTGATCACCTTTAGGGTTCTGGACTCCTCATTAAGAGGGCTAAATATTGAAAAGTTCTAGAAAAGAAAAATGAGGACTTCTGCACCATCATGAATAAATGATAATTTTTGCTAAAGTCATCCTTTGTACATGGAAGATGAGACAACAAAAATGGAAGAATGGAGAAGCATCTGTACAGCTTACATGCATTTAGAATGTCTACATAAAACTTTATGACACCAATTAATGGATACCTTTTCCGGTTTAACTTAACTGCTCTAAAAATGTTTAAAGTTTCTATAACAGAAGCACAAGGGCATTTAAGTTAAGAAAATCTATGCCACAGTCTTCCTCTCACCTCCTTACTGATGGATGGTGCAGAATCTATTTATTTCCTACATCATGAAGAAAAACTGTGAAAATGCTCTGAAGTTCCATCCTAAGGCAAGATAAAGTGCCAGAGTAGTGTTATAGATTTCAAAGACCCTAAGCCAAGGCACTGGCACAAAGACATCTGCTAATACCAGCTTGCCAAGATACTGAGTTGCCTGTTAAGTGATAACATTTAGTCCCTCCAGAATAGAGCAACAGATGTGTAAGGCTCTTCTCAGTTTGTTTTTGCTTCCAGCACCTTCAACATGTTTCTTCAATTATACATTACAGGAGTGACTGCACAGCAGTATACCCATAAACTCTTAACTACCTAATTCTTCTCTTTCCAAAATTTACAAGGGTCAAGATATTGCTGAAGCCCATAGGACATTAGAGCGCAGCTGTTCTTCCATATGTTCCTTAGGTTTACATCTGTTATAGAGATAACCCCAAAGCATGGTAGATGGCATGACATGACGCTATGTTTCTCCAAAGATTGGAAATCACTCCTTTATCACACCTATGAGTTATTGTAGCATCGTAACTATCTACAGCATCTGTAATTTAAAATGTATTTTTATTTGTAAACATTTTCTTAGTTGCATATTTCTTAAGTCCAAAAAGAGAAAATCACACAAACATAGAAGAGAACCAATATTTAAAAAAATCACTGAAATGTTAAAAAGTTTTCATTCAATGTAGTAGCATTTTCCTGTACAATGCATTTTTCAATACTGACGTTTTGCATATATGATTACAAAAACATAACAAAGCATCTTTAGTATCATGGGTGAAACTACTTTAATGTGCTAAAATCCAATGTTAAATGAATTAGTTTGGGTGATACCTCCATTTCTTGTTTTGAAAACTGTATAGGTCTCCAAAAGCTATTAATCTTTCTCTTTTTATCATTTTGCTGACAGCAAGTTTCTTCAGTAAAATACCACAGCATAGACAAGTTAGAAATACACAATATGAGATTGTCTCTGCAAATTTCCCACAGGAAACCTGGTGCAGGTTTCAGTAGAACAGCAAGAAATTGGAATAGTTTAATCTGGGGGAGGGGATTATGTGTAACATTGGGTATAATTTTAGAGAGATTATTATGGCTACTTTATATGCTAATATTTCACATATAACATTTCATTTTTTTGTTTAAAATATTTTTCAAATGCATGAAATTTGAGAAAATCTTTTTTTCATAAGTTGTTGTTGTTAGTTGCGAAGTCGAGTCCGACACATCGCAACCCCATGAACAACGTTCCCCCAGGACTTCCTGTCCTCTACCATCTTCTGGAGTCTATTTAAGCTCACGTCTACTGCTTCAGTGACTCCATCCAGCCACCTCATTCTCTGTCGTCCCCTTCTTCTATTGCCTCAATCTTTCCCAGCATTAGGCTCTTCTCCAGTGAATCCTTCATTCTCATTAGGTGGCCAAAGTATTTGAGTTTCATCTTCGGGATCTGGCCTTCTAAAGAGCAATCAGGATTGATCTCCTCTAGGACTGACCAGTTTGATTGCCTTGCAGTCCAAGGGACTCGCAGGAGTCTTCTCCAGCACCATAGTACAAAGTCCTCAATTCTTTGGCACTCAGCCTTTCTTATTTTAATAAGTATGTAAATGAAATTCCATTAGAATAAATGTATAATGTACAAATGTTTTCACTCATGACACCTCAAAGTGCAATGTCAGATGGCCAGTGGTTTATGTAGTCTAATGTTTAGTTCAGGTGTAGCCAGAAATTCTACTAATTCTATAAAGTACATAGGCGTTGTACATCTATACAGTATTGGAAATTAAAATGAAATGTTTCCAATATCTACCATATTTTTTGGAGTATAAGATACACTGGACTATAAGTTGCACCTTGGTTTAGAGAGGAAAACAAAAAAAATAGCACGTTTTTGGCCTGCAGACACTTCTGGACGCTGGGGAGAGCAAAAATGGGACACACGGAGGCTTGGGGAGGTCAAAAATGGGCCCGTATTCACTGTATAAGACACACAAACATTTCCACACACTTTCTTGGGGGAAAAGTGCAACTTATACTCTGAAAAATACAGTATATCAGGGGTGTCAAACTTGCATTGTCACAGGGGCATCACGTGATTTATCAGGACTTTTTCCCCCCCTTCACTCAACTGGGCGTGGGCATGGCCAGAGCATGACACATCTGGCCTGCAGGCCACGTTTGATAGCCCTGATCTATATTCTCAGCAATATATTCAGACAAAAGCTTGTATATTCTCATTGTAGCTATTTACATGTATAGTTTTATCTGCCCCAGTTAAAATTTTCAGATGATTGTGTAAATCAATGAAGAATTTAGAAACTTTTGAAATGGAATATGTGAATTATATTGGAGGAATGAGGGAAGAGACGCTGCCAAGGAAATTATTAGACAAAAGAGGCAGGACCCTCCAATGAATTAATGGTCAGAGAAGAAAAAATGCCTTACAGATCAAGCAGTTAAAACTGGCAGCAGGAAATTTCTGCCTTCAGATTTGCCAGTTACTCTTGATAAATAAAGTATAATAAAATAGAATTAGTTGTGTTTCCTGCCTGATTTACCTGGTGAGCTAACACATTTAAAAACATATATCCCAAAATGCAATGCAATATTTGGTGTAAGCCATGCATACATATATCTGGAATTTTAACCTGTATGTAATATTTTTGAATGTTGCTCTTATAAATGCTAGTTATATTCAGCATAGCTCTTCAAAGGTGAAAGTCATGGTCTCATAATAGAAATATAATCTTCCCCAACTTCCTTACCTGATCATATTGCAAATCGAGCATCCCTTGCCTCCTAACTTTTTACCTTTAATTTAAATTGAAATGTATTTTGTATCCATGTATTTGATATTTGGGTTGGTTGTCTAAAACTGTTAGCACATGCTCAGAAGTTCATTATTTTAACCTCTTACTCTCTAATTAAACTGTCATTGATTAAATTGACTTGAGAGATTTAAATAGAAATGGATTTACAGGCTCTTCATTAATTCATCAATTTAGTAATGTCATGTATAGTTGGTATTCAATCACATTACAGGGAATGGGCCAGTTATCTTTATACTCTGAATGTTTCACTGCTGTTTGATTTATCTGGGTGCATGTTCAAAAAAGAAGGGTAAAATTTAATGGGGCATAATCAGCCGCAGGTTTTAATCTAGGAGGAATAATATCTTCTTCCCACTCTCTATACAAAAGACAAAGCTAGCATCTTTGGAATACATGCAACAGAACTGTGCTCTTATTTTTTTTTTTAACTTATAGTTAGTAAGTTACAGATAGACTTACAACAACAATTGAGCCCAGAATTTGGATCCTAAGTCATTGTGGTTGTAAGTCAAGTCACCTTATGACAAGGCACTATTTTATGATCATGTTTAAGGATGCTTGTTAAGCGAGTCATGTTTGTTAAGCAAATCACAGTGATAAGTCTGAATCCAGCTTATCCAATGGTGTTTTTTGCCATTTTTGTTGCAAAATATAATCATGTGACTATCATATCTCTTCCAATAGATCACTAATGAAGAAAAGGGCAGGTTGCACAGAAAGATCAGGCCTGCATATATAGGGCTTTGAAGCTAACCAGGATCCAGTCTGTTTAAATATTTGGATAAGAGGTCATTGATATATCACAATCTGGCCTGGTAAATTAAAAAAATAAATAAATCCCAGAAGGCAACAACAGCAAACCATTTCCACGCTGTTATCAAAACCCCTTGCAAGAATCAATCTATGATGGAGTCAGGACTGACCCAATAATATCTAGTTTATTTAGTAATAGAATTTAGCACTAATACTATTAGAAATGACTACTTTCCATCTCCCACTTGGCCTTGAGTAGATTCATTTACATACCCTTAATCTTAAACTGACATATTTCACTATTGAGAGAAGACACATTTTCACAGGAAATCAAGTTCGATTTGATACTTACATAAAATTATTTTCCTAATCTACTGTACTAGTTGTAGAGCAGTCTTCAGTTGCCTTTGTAGACATGGAGAAAGGCATTCAGCAAAGATAGCAGATAGAAAAGAAAGATGTTCATTACCAAAGAGGAAAGACAGGTAGAATGGTATTAGGCAACATCAGAGATTACAATTATATTCATAATAAAGGTTATAATTTTGCAGAAGCGTGGAACGTATTGTAAAAATTGTGATGATCCTCATGTTCACAAAGGTTGATCAGTGGAGTTTACACTTTCATTTTGAAACAAGAATCCTCTCATCGCCTCCACTCATCCCTCTCTCCCCCACAAATATGTGTCATTTCAGCAGCTATACACAATAAAAACACAAACATTTAAGGAAAGATACAGCACATTAAGTATAAACCCCCCATTTCTGTCTTGGATGATAGATGCAAGAATTCCAACTGAGTTGATTTTATGAACCAGTTAAATGATTTGTATTCAGAACCACATTAAAAATCCCCATGACAAAGTGTACTTTTAACAAAAATACCCTGCTTGTGACACATCCTTTGCAAGTAATGTGTTTTCATTTTTCACATGTTGCATCTCATTTATTTTATTCAGGCACACATAGTTAAATCTGCAAGATACGGCAAGCTTCCAATACCCTTGAAATAATAAATCATTTCTTACAGATGTTTTTACCCACTGCTAAGCTGCCTCTCATTAATCAAATATTATCAGTTTCTATCAGTGCCCAGTCCTAAATGAGGAATACACTTCGTTCTCCCTTCTGACTTTTATTCACTGTCCAACTTTGACCTTTCTTTATTGCCGGATACTCATTTGCAAAATTCCCAATATATACTTTTAAATACAGAGCACACACACATACAAACAAATCCAGTTTTGTTTATGTGTGCAATTCATTTGTTTTCTAGTACAATTAAATACAGTCATACAATCTCAGCCTGAACTTCAACAAGATCACAGCAGAAATGCATTATGTGCAGTTGTATTTAGAGTTAGTTATTCATTAAGTGGAAGGCAAATCGTGTTTCTTTCAGTGTTGAAAGAGTTCGTGGAGCAGGACCCATCCCAAATAAATCTATATTTCATTTTTGATCAATTATTAAAATTTCATTTCAGAAAACAGCACAGCATATGCTGCAGACTGAGTCTGCTCGAAACAGTACTTTTGAAAATGCAGAAATTAATTAAACAAGGGTCTATACGAAATGTAGTCTTTTTCCCTCCAGAAAGGAAACAACAGTCAGGATTACTAGATCATCAAAACCTGTCCCCTGAACTGGAAAGAGTTTTTCCACAGCTTTCATCCTCCCTCAAACCATTTCACAATCTTTTACCTAAAAAGTAAAAAAAAATGAACGAATGAAAAAAATCATGCCTGTGACTATTTTGAAAAATTAAGTAATTAAAAAACTCAATTATACTTATCTAACTGTGTAAAGTTTGCAGGCACTTTGAGGATAAAATCGTTTATGCTGCTTTGACCTGAATGCCGGATGGGCCATGTCATGAGAGCACAGATGTAGCAGCTTGCAGGGTAATCTGGGACTCCTTCAAATGGTCTTCTCTGCGATAAATTCAGATTCCTATAAATTAGATCCCTCTTTCTTATGACAATATGTATGTATGAGACATGGGGAGATATTCTTGGAGGAAGTGATGAAGCAACTGGCCCTAAAGAAGGTTGTGGTATATCTCTCTTCAAAAAATAAAACAAAAATCCCATCACTCAACCCATTTGTCATATATAATTATTGACACATCCATAGCAAAACCTTTTTAGGCAATGCTCAGTAGATGCTTAGGTTCACATTGTGGATGACCTGGATGGTAAGGTTGCGTGTCCTACCTCTCCTGTTGGAATATTTAACATGTTTGACCCCTTCAATGTTCGTAACATTCTGGACCACCAAAAATGGTGTGGGCTCTATTCCTTCCTAAGCAAACAATTTCAATAGTATTGTTGGGGGAAGACAGGTTAAGTCTTTGGGTACTCAAATGTGGGATGCCCCAGCACTTGGAATTCTTATCAGTATCATTTAACACAGTGGGATTCAAACACTGTTACTACCGGTTCTATGGAAATGGCTTGATGGGTGTGCCATGGCTTGGTGGGCATGGCAGGGGAAGGATACTGTTAAATGTCCATTCCCTCCCCACTCCAGCAGGAAGGTTACTGCAAAATCCCCATTCCCTCCCCACCCGACTAACCTGCTTTCCAGCTCTGTTCTCCTGTGCAGGGCAACAAAAGAAGACCCAGCTGATCAGCTGAGACTCGGGAGGCAGAGAATAGATCAGGGTAGGGCCAGTCAGAGGTGGTATTTGCCAGTTCTCCGAACTACTCCAAATTTCCACTACCAGTTCTCCAGAACTG